ACGTGGATCTTTAATTGCTCACAGCACGTGTCAGAATTTATAATTGCATCGTACAGCCAAGAATAACTCTTCGTCTTATAACGAACAAATAAAGAATATTATTTAAACGGAATCCAGATATATTTTATCATATTTATTACGTATCTGGAGAATCGATGCCAGACAATTAATATGTTTCCCGAAGAGGGGCCCGGAAATTGAGGTCGGAACGTCGATAGACAATTAATAATGCGAAAATTAAACGCCGTGCATGGTCCGATAAATACTCATCTTGTAACATATACAATTTAATGACCTCGCGCAAAAATGAACCAGAAATGTAAAATAAAATTTCCCCGTGGGAGGGTCCCTTTCAGAGATAATCGATTTTAAAAGTACGTGGTTGCACGCGCCAATTTAAGTTAAATTCGTTTGAATGGACCTCATTACAGATTGTCCGACTCGTACGTGATATACGACGCTCGTAATTTCCAAGCAAACATTCGTGCTGCAAAACCGAAATATTGAAAACATTTTGTAATTGGAAGAAACATTGTTCGAGCACGAACAAGTTTGTCAATTAAGGGCACGCGTGTCCCGCGTGTTATTAAAATCGATCATCGCGAGAACGAGACGTAAAAAATTTTCATTCCGCGTTCTCGACTCGTTTTTAAACGAGAAAATCATCCCTCTGTTTCGTTGTACATCGAAATCTCGACGAGGGTGCAGCGGATAATTTTTATCTCCGACGCGACACGTGTTATCCGGTCCGCGTCCGTGAATTTTAAAAGGGCCAGAAAGCACGGTTCAAGAAACGCAATTATCCAAATAGAGGAGGAATCCTCGGGGATGATCACGATGGCAGATATTCGCGAGTAAAATTAAAAGTTGGTTACGGGGAAACCGTCGGGATCGGGAGCAGAAGAAACGTTGTAACGACTTCCGGCGCGGAGTTATTCAAACTTTTTTCGTAACGAGCGGTCTCTCTCGCCAGAGGGGTCGCGCGAATTGTGCAAAAACTTACGCTGTCGCGTAAATTTTGCTAAAAGTATCCTCCTGTTTACGTAACGACGAGAAACTTCCCTGTTATTATCGAACCGTCAGAAAAGTACGCGGGGCCGCCGATTACCAAACTTCTTCAACGCGATTTGATCCAATCGCGAACGAATCCGTTGCGTATCGTCGGATTGTTGCACAATTTTCGACGACAGTGTCATTACAAACATTGAAACGCGAAAGAAAACGATGCAAATTGGATAATTGGTTTATATTATTAATAAATATAATAGATAGACATGGATTTTAATGTTTTTAATCAAATAAATTGAAAATCACTTTGAGGAGAAGCCTGACTTAAATATAATTTATTTGTTTCAACGAAAAAAACGATTCAAATTGGATAATTGGATGGTATTATTAATATAATAAACAGACATGGATTTTAATGTTTTTAATTAAATAAATTGAAAATCATTTTGAGGAGAAGCCTGACTTAAATATAATTTATTTGTTTCAACGAAAAAAAACGATTCAAATTGGATAATTGGATGGTATTATTAATACAATAAATAGACGTAAATTTTAATGTTTTTAATCAAATAAATTGAAAATCATTTTGAGGAGAAGTCTGACTTAAATATAATTTATTTGTTCCAACGAAAAAGACTTTAACGATTGATAAACTAATTGCAGATGCCCAGAGGAAATGTGAAGTTCGATTTAGCGTAACTCAGAGGGCACAAATAATGAAATACGATTGTCTGTTAATTTTCTATGTAATCTTAAACCTGTGTATTAATGAAACGTTAACAATTTAATCGTGAGTTGTTTCCATAAAAAAAAAAACAGGGAATTTGCCTTTTCCCTGGCTTTTGGAGAGATGTAAACTCTTGAACGAGCGATACGATCACGAAAGCTCGCGAGGCAAACTACATATTCCCCCGCGATCGTATCACGCAACGACACGTCGAATTTCAGCGAGAAGATGGAATCAAACGCGCCGACACAATGAAAGCATTCTAACGAGACGCGTTTCTCCGCTCCGTTGATCACGGAGCTCGTGAAACGAGCGATGAAAATACTTTTGGCTCGCTGGACGGCTGCGTGATCAAAATTTCAAGACACCAGTCCAATACTTTCGGGCAAAATAATCGATCTCTCGCGTTCTCGATAGCCTCGAGAACCTATCCTGTAAATTTCGTCGCGAAATTCGGAGTGTCAACGATTTTATAGAATATTTCAGCGACCCGGTAGGTTCTTTTGGACGCTCGAAATCAGACTTGGATGGAACAGTGCACGAAAATCGTGCAACAACGAACCTATAAATTATTAAAATGTATAATAGTAAGACGAAACTTACTGGAACGCGTTGAGGTACGGATGAATTATTCATTCGTACATGTTAAAGTGGGAATAAAATATTCAGAGACGTGACGAAACGGACGAGGCACGAGTTGAAAGATTGTGGCGATCTGCATATTATGGGGAACGAAAGTGAAAAAGCGAGTCATAAATACAGTGCGTCTGGAATATACAAGGCCGTACTTTGAGGGGAGTGAATCTAGTAAAATAAGTAACGGCGTTCTGTGTGCTTTAGTTCTCGAAACGAGAACGCTTTATAATTCCAAAGATTCAATTTCTCAACGAGATAACGTCAGCTGTTCGATAATATTAAACGATAGTAGAACAATTATGTGATCAGCGAATTGACTCGTGTTCCATGGAAAACAATAAAAGAGAAATTTCAATAAGAGACTGTGAAGACTTTCTTCATCCAAACAGCGTTCAGAGCTGTGTCTCTGTTTTACCAGACGACGAACAAACATTTTTATTACTTTGTTGTTATTTGTACAGACCTAACCTCGACCCATCTGTTTCAGACGCGCGCGTTAACATTTTACGCCTCCGCGATGCAATTCCTATTGAAAACCCTTCTGTGACCCCTCGTTTTCTTTCAATTTCCAAGAAAAAGTATTCAAGGAAGGAAACGTGAAGCAACTTACGTTCCTTTCGGACGAAAAGACGGTAAACGAAATCGCGAAAACGCCGTTCAGCTTGACGAGCCGTCGTGCGTGCGACTTGGCGGCTCGACGAAAGGCGGCAGCCACATCCCGCCGCTGGACAAACAACGGAATCCTTCGTCGATCCGACGAGTCCTTTTTCCCCATTGCTCGTGCACCACGTATCACATGTCACAGGTGAACGTCGCGGGGAACCGTTCGAGGACCGTCACACGCGCACCACCAGCGATTCCCGTGCCCGAGGATCGCGATCTCATCGAAGGATCCCTCTCGATCGCGTAGACACCGACGCACGAGTCCTTGGCCGGTTTCCAAGCAGCTCGCCCCGACCAGTGTCGGATGTTTAGCACGCACGATCACCGCCACAAGTGGTTGCGTCCACCAGGACGCCGCGTGTCGCGACGGAGACCTCACCAGCCAGTCGTCCAGGTGGGCATCCTTCGAGGAGGATCGGGGAATCAGCCGATCGATCCCTCGATCGCGTTACGAACGACACCACCCATGGCCACGATCGGAGGAAGCTGTTTGGTCGACGACGGCAACTGGAATCCTCGATGCAGGACGGATTCTTTCGACGTCGGCCTCGAGGATCGATTCCCAGCCGCGGAGGTAAACAGACCGTGGAAGGGAACAGGTGATTCCTGACAGGACGATCGGTTCACGGCGTACACACGCTGCAAAGAGCCTCGAAGAGTTCCGGACGATCCCGTGAACGATCAGCGTTTACCAGAGTCGAGGATTCGCTGACCGATCCTGCCAGGACGCACTGGTTCGATCGTCGATCAGGACAACAAGAGACGATCCACGAGCACCGACACCAGCCGCACGTCGCGACCACGTCGAAAGCGTGACTGCTCCCTGGATCCTGTCGATGGACGAGCGACCGTCGTCCTTCCCAGGACCTGGATACGCCGCGAAACAGTCGTCGGGACACGATAAGGACACGAACACGCTCGCCAGACAGCAGCTCGTCGGGGCTGATTTTCTATTTGGCAGGCTATCGACTGTCGTGCACCCAGTGTCGTCTGCTCGGAACTAACGCCGCTGGCACCACGCCTGCGTCCGCAGAGACGCTGAACAGGCGTCGTGACGCCGGCTGATCGCGACGTACGCGTTGCCAGGGCGCATGCCGCGCCGGTCGACGCGCCGCGATTCGAATCGAACGACGACCAACCGCCCCGAGGGCGCGTATTTTGACTCGAGTCGTGCTAACCGGAACGTTTCATGGTTGGACCTAGTTTGAACTCCCGTTATTCGAGTCTATGTTGATATGAAAGCGTAAAACGTGACTAGGATCTAGGAATGGAACATAGTTTGAGGGTGAAAGAGAATCGAAAGAGTTGATGAACGTTTGACGAACGCTTTGAGCAAGTTTGAGCAGAGTCCATTTGGGCAATTTGAGTCAGGCTAATATGAGAGCGTAGAGAAGCGTGGGAATAGTTAAATGTTTGATGAGTATCCTAGTCTTTGACCTGTGTCGAGTAGGGTTATACTTGGTCGAGTAGAGTCTATAATTGATGAGTGGATAATTTATGTACGAATCCCGAAGCTATTTGGACCCATAGTCAAAAAAATTTGTTTGAATTTTTATCGAAAATTTCTTAAACATTTTGGAACTCGAAGGCCCAAAATTTCAGACTCAAGAAGCACCTCGATCGAATACACGACACTAAACGCGCTGTTTCCAAACCATGGGAACGACGATAATTATTTACAAGTCGTAAACTCGTGGAAGGGAGCATCGAACGTTATGGACGATGTTTACGTCATCGTTCAGCGCGAAATTCAAACGCCTAGCGAATGGGCGCCGGGTCTGGCCATAGATAGGTTATACTACTGAAAACGCGGCGGGATATTTGAAACTTGGCAAAGCAAACAGTTAAAAATCTACATCGATGCTATGAACCTGATCGATTTCAGACGAGGAAAATGATGCTTCTGGTGAATTTCTAAACTGTAATTCGCGAGGATGGGAAAATGATCGTGAAGTGCGTGACTCACCAGTTTGAGTACTGCTATCGAAAAAGGTGCTCGATGTCTCGACGGTCATCGAAGCGAATGTGCCATCGGTAATTTGAGCGGAACTGTCTCTGCGTCCTCGGTATCTCTGAACCTGATAAACAAAGAATGTAGAAAGGGTAACGTCGCCTTTGGTATTTTCCTTCTTTTTCAATTAAAAATATACTGATTTAGGAAACTGACCGCCTCGTCGCTTTGGGAGCTCTGCCTACGAAAATTTCGACATCTCAATATTTCCTCCGTGGTGCCCTGGCGCCGGAAACCACGAGCTATGAAGATCTCTTTGGTCGTCGACTGTCTTCTGACCGGTGGGTGCTGGCTGCTTCCTGGTGCACGCGCGCAAGGACTCGGGTCTCTCGACGAGCACGTAGAACTGTCCGGCGACCTCGAATGCAAAAATCACAATCAATTTGATGAATATTGAGAGTCGAGAACGGTTACGAAACACCTACTTCGGACAGTCCAATTGTTTCAATTAAATGCAATCGTTGGAGAATATTTAAAACATGAATTTTAACTCCATCTTCGACAGGATTTAATAAAATCTGGAAATTTTATTCGTTGGTCGAATTGGCTCGATCACTTGGAATCAATTTCTTTCTTTCAACGACATTCTCTGCGTCGTGCAATAACATCGAAAGGATTGGAGTTTGATGGACTTTAGTATCGACTATAAGTAATTTGTAATAATTGTTATTAACCGTGGAGTCGCGTTTTTATCAGTAAAGAGATATTATCAGCAGACACTGCGGCGTGAAAATCGATACAGGGCAGATACCTCGGTGGCCGACTGGCCATAGACGTCGACTGCCTTCTGAGCTGATGCTTTCGTTGCCTGATAGGACTGATATCCCTTTTATCGACGTTCCTGTCCGGACTCAAATGGCTCCTGGAGTCGCGACGTCTCGGATAAGAGGCGCAATCCGGGCTCAGCGAGTCCCTGCGTGCTTTGCGACCTGCAAACATCACGAAAACACTTTCATACGCGTTCCTGAATTCGAAAGTACTCGCCGCTCCCATGAAATACACTACGTTTCTAACAACACGTTCGTGCAATCGTGGATTTATTTTAAACGAATCTCGTAACGATACCTCCTTCGTCAGGATCCGGCGATAAAGTCGGTTGACTCCCGCGACGTCCTGCAGGTGGCATCGATTCGTCTATTGCTGCCGCTTGTCGCGTTAATCTCGACAATTTATTCGGCGACGCTTCGTTTCCCTTATAATAGCACTGCAACAAAATCCGTGGATTTCCAATCAGCACCGTTCCCGACATATTCAATCCAGTACCGATGCCCTAATTGAAGAATTATTAGAAATTATTGAAATTGTACGCTGCGTGTCTGACTGCATACAGACTGTTACTACTTCCAATTCCTCGCGGTGGAACCTCCGACCTGCTGACGTTTCGCAATAGAAGATGCAACTTTGAAACTTTGTAGAAATTATACTCGGATATTATCACTTTGATAATGTTTAATTACCCACCTGGGTGGTCGAATCTCTTCTGGTGGCGACCAGAGGATGCGTAGGCGTGTGAACGTTCGGCGAACCGACGGGGCTGGAGCTACCGGAAGTGGAGGTGCCAGGTAGCGGAAGGCTGCTACCGATCGTCGGCGAGATCGTCGGCGGCGTCGTCGACGACATTATGATGGTAGGGGGAGTGATGGTCGAGTCCAGAGTTAAATTCTTGTTATCCAAAACCACCTTCGTGTCCACGGTCAACATGGTGGCGGTCCGAGTGGACGCGGAGGTCGTCATCGTGGACGACGACTTCGAATCGACGGCAGAGATCACGGGCGTCTTGCCGTCGATCGTCGACGTGGTCGTCGTGGTGGTGGTCGTCGTCGCTGTTACCGTTTTAGCCTCCCCCGTCTTCGCCTCGAGGCTGCTCGATCGGTCGCTCTTGTCCATCGAACTCCTGGTCTCCAGATGGTCTCTGAAATCGAAATTCCTTACAAATTCCACCGAAAGGAGGCTACATAAATTAAAATATTCTAGGTCCTACAATTTTCTCGTGGAAAAGAATTTTAGATTGTTATTCTCTTTATCGAGTACCTGACAGCGTTGCTGGTCCCGCTGTCGGTGCTGGAAAAATATTTGGCAGCCGTCGCCCCGAGGCCGCCATCCATGGACTGCTCCGACTGTCTGCGTCTGTGATGGCGGCAATTATGCTTCCGTTCGCCAGTACTGGTGGTCTGTCCAGCGACCATCGAGTCCCTTCTGGACCTCGCACTCTCGCTGGAACCGCGACGGGAACTCCGCAACTCCGCTGACCCTGCAAGAGCAACGCAAACATCAATTTACTATCGAGACTACTATTATACCTAATCTTTTCTATTTTGTTCAAAGAGTTCGTATACGTTGAAGAAATAGGAATACGTGACCTTAACTGTTAAAATAAATAAAACAAATTACTTTTGAGAATGACCAAGTATCAACGACGAAATAGATCTAAAATGGGAAAACGTGACCTTTAAAATTTGAGGATACCGAGTATCGATAATAATTTTTGGACGAACCTCGACGAGGGGTTGGCGAGATGACGGTCGGCGGTGGTTGGGGTTGAGGGGCAGCCTCCCTCTTGCTCCATAATTTCGCGATGTCGTTTTTAATCTCGCTGATCGCCGAGTTTCGCCTCGATTTCGTCGACGGCTGGCTCCTGATCCCGCTGTCCACGGAGCTCTCGCGTCGTTTCCGGAGTCTCTCCAGGTGGCTGGCGTCTGTGGTCTGCCTGGACCAGGGCATGGATTTCGCGATGTCCGCCAGCGTTTCCCGCCGACAAAGCTTGTTTCCGCGCCCAGCTTTCCCGGAAGCACCTCCGCTGCTCCACTCCCTCAGGATGTCCGTCAATTGTGCCAGGCTGGACCGTCGACGGCGCTGATTCGTCGGCGACACCTCCTGCGGTTCGTTCGGCGGCGAGATTTGCGTCGCGGAGTCTCGCCTTCCGGTCCCTAAAAAGACACTTACGAGTTACTTATCCTTTAAACAATGCGATAATTCTTGCCAAACAAAATGAAGAATATTTCTCCAAGATATTAGTCGTTGTTTGCTTCTTCCAAATTATCAAATTTCCAAACTTCCTCGAGCAAATATGCACCGTTTGTATGCACAGAAAACAGGAAAACGGAACGTATTCATCCTGTCGCGTGCACTGCTTTCGAAATCAGTTCGACTCCGGGGCCATATATGGCTGTTCCAATTAGTTTCCAATCACAGTTCGCGCATTGTTATGACTAAAAATGTTTTCTCTGGTAATGATGTGTCAAACTACCGTTCGAAACGTGAATCTAACAGCTCCGTACAGACGGATGACGTTTCCTCGATATCGTCAAACGTCAAATCCACCGAAGCAAAACGAAGTAGTTGTAGAAAAAAAATATCTTCCTCTTGTTTACCGTTCGTTCGAAACAAAATTCTGACGTTTCGTATACGGTTTGGTGAAGATCGTTACCGAGTCGTTGCTGCAAAGTGGACTCCTCCACTTGTTCCCGCACCAGGTCGTCCCAGCCATTTCCTCCCTGCCATTCCAGCCCGACCTGATGGCTCAGGATCGGCAGGTTGCACACGAAGCAGATCGCTGTCATGGTCCTGGAACGGAAACGCTCGATCTCGGTTTAAACGGACAAAGGATCGCCGCGATCCGTCAACGGACGGCGGTGAAAATGTAACTCTAGGAGAAAAGGTGCCATTATTCAACGACAGAGTTACGGGCGAAACCAGGCCATGCCAAACACCAGCCGCTAACAAAAGTGCCGTCGAAGTCGTGGTTTCTCCGACTAGCCCACCACTCCTCGATACGCTTCCATGCTCGACGAGTTGCTAATTACGCGGGGAGGGGGAGGGGGGAGGGGGCAAAAAATACAGAGGAAAGATCAAGCAAAATCCAGCTCAGTTTCAAGCAAACTACGTTAACGACCATACTTGTAACTTGGCACGTACTTGGGTTTACGTACTTAGGGGCGGTGATGCTCGTCAGAGACGCTCTGCTGGTTCGATTTCGAGCATGAAGTTAACGAGGAAACTTTGCTCGATTCATGCTCGTATGCTCGCCCTTTCGGAGTATTTGCTCATTAATTACGCGACGCTGTTGAACGTCGCGTTTCGTTCAAAGATTTAAAAAAAATGGACGACTGTTTCGAGCGTTGAAGCGAACGAAGAAAATCCCCGAAGTTTCATTTCGAACCCGGGAGAACGTCTCGGAATTTCATCAACTCCTCGTAATATAATCGTTAGGAACATTAACTCTACGAATACTAGAACTACCGATACGAGCACGGTTCGACTCGTTTGTTTGATCGAACGGTTCAACCCTCGTCGGTGGCAGGGGGTGGAACCTCGATTTAAATAATTGCACGAAAATGATCGCGTAAATTTTACGAACAATTACTCGAATGAAGGTCCAACGTCACCGAGAAGGGATCCGTAATCACGGGGTCGGGACGCTCGACCGAATAAACGAGTTAAACCGCGTTGGTAGTGGTGGTTGTTCCGTTCACCTGTCAGTTACAAAACAAGCACATCACATTAGCTAATTTAAATAACAATGTGTCGTAAGCGCGAAGCAGAAACTCGGAGGAGGATCGTGTCGATTATAAATTCATACGCGATAACTCGCGCTCCTCCTCCCACGTTTTCCGAAAAGACGAGACCGCGCTACGCTGCCGCCCACACCGTGTGCGTGGGCGTGACGGTGACGTGGATGACGAACGGTCGGCTAAATGGAGCAACGTATACATTAAAGACACCGGCGTCGCAGGTGTGGTTGCACAGAGTTGCCGAAACGCGTTCGGGGGATCGTCGATCAGCGTCGTTTCGGAAGCGTGGATGCAGCGAAACAGCCCGCGATATATCGTTACGTGTGTTGGTATAATGCGAGGATGTCGTGATGCAAGCTGGATTAAGATGATTACACGTGCAAAAATAAATCGAAAATGTGGACGAAATTATTTCTCGCGCGAGGCTTTGCTTTTGCAAACAATCAACATTTCATAGAAACTCCTGGCGGTTATCGTTATTGTACTGATATATATTAAAATATCGCTTCGAATTAGTATTTTGCGATAGCTTTCGGTTTTAATAGCGACTGAGTTTAGTAAGTAAATTAATTAAAAATTAATAGTGTATACTTTTCTCGTTCGTTCTTTTTAATTTACCTATCTTTCCAGTTCTCAACTTTTCCTTCGACCTTATAATTAACCCGTCTATTTAATTTAAGTTCGCAGCAAAGCGTCCGGTCTTCGAAGAACGTACCTTCGCAGTTTACAATTTTAGAAATAATATATTACTAGCGTAGCAAATTTACGAACTTAATTTTGTTCGATCGAACCGAAAAGCAACCGAATATTTTAACGTCGGAAATGTCCAACGTGGTTCGTCTAAAAAACGAAGCCCCGCGTAAAAAGCACCTGTTCCACCATTTTTACGTATTTTTGCACGCGCCGTCGGTTCTGTTCGAGCTCGCAACCCACCCTGTACACAATTACTAGCGAGAAAGAAGGATAGATAGAAATAGAGCCGCATGTCTGTCCTCGTATTCAGCGTATAGCAAAACTCTCTTTGTATATTTGATTTGGCGTTTCGACCTGTAATGTCGAAGTCTGGGGCTCGGCAACGACATCGCATGGCAAGGGCCTGGCCGACCTGCAAAAGACACACACAAAACTTTTTCCTTTCCCCCCATTAGGTGGGAAATAGTGAATTTTTGGGGGGCGTCGTCCTGGAAAGTTACGTCAAGTTCTCTCGATCGTTTCCACCCTTCTTTGGATTGTCGATATACTTTTCTGAAGCTTGAATTTTAGGGAAATCTCAAAAAATTCGATTCTTTCGACCTCGCGAGACGAGTGCATCAATTCCTCGTCCACGATGGAATTAATTCAAGCTCTTCGTTTAACGAAGTTCGAAGTCAACTTTGACAATCCCCGGTGGGAACGACCAAGGTCCGTCGCGTAAACTTGGCTCGGTAAATGTTTGCGGGGTTAAACGCTGGAAACGTTTTCACCGGGTCGTAATTTTTCTAATCCCGCCGCCGATGGGACGCTTAGAACGTTCGCGCCTTGATGAATCCGGGGGCAAGGCGCGAACGAGGAGCTGAAACGACGACGAACGACTCGCGCGAGACTCCATCTCCGTGCGTAGGAGAATTTCGTACGAAATATTAAATAATTTCCTGAGATTTGTACACGATGTTTGAATATTAATTAATTCCCAGACGAATGCACGATTGTGAATTAATTTAATATAGCGGAGGGTTTACAGTCTTTCTGTCTGGTTATCAGAAACCGAATAAATATAGAGTCGACGTTAATAAATAATAGTAATGTAAATAATTAGTTTTACAGCGTATTTAGGTATGAAATTTTAATCGAGACCACGCTACCGTCTGCATCATTGCATCGTAGAACCAACGATTATTGCAAACAATTTCGAAACCAGACTTCAAGCATTACACGAGAGCAGAGCTCCATTTTATACTGGCGATTTTCATATTACATTACCGAATTATACAATAATAATACCGGCCGCTGTTTGCGAGCCATTTCGCGTCGGAATATATTTCATTACAGAGTACAGATACAGAGTTACTGATAATGCAAACATTAATTGTAATAACGGTACATTGTTAATCCCGTATACGATTAAACATTGATGATGTAAACGCACGAAATCGTGACGAGCTGCCCACGCGACGAACGTTCGCGGATCACGCGCGCACCGACGAACATAATCTTTGCGTGATTGGTTTCACGTGTATCGCGGTTCCGGCGTTAAGCGAACTTTCGAACTTGGCTTTCTCCTGACATTTTATCGAAAAATCTGTGAAATTTCAATCAATCGCATTGCTACGTACTAGAATTATTCGATTAAACATTCTTGGTCGTTAGTTTCGCATGCATGAGAGTAGCATACATTTTCTCGCATATTGAAGAACTTTGCTAGTGAAGGAGTATGTATTTTTATTAATCGTTCACATATAAAAAATGAATTAATGAACATTCAACCGGTGCTTCTATTATTTGGTCAATTTTTGGGTTATGGCTTTGAAAGGAAATGATTCTGAATGTAATATGTTCTCCGATCATTTACTGTTTCTGGTTCCAAATTCCTTCTTGAACTCGTATCTGTGTCGATTGATCAGAATTTTTATTTTGATTTTATTCGTGAAACTGCTTTGTCCTTTTCACTACTTGTGGTATTAATTAAATCTGACTTGATAAGGAGTTCCCCATTTCGTGGAATTATTTTACTGTTCTGCTGTCCATCAGCATCGTCCATCGATTAATCAGAATTTTTATTTTGATTTTATTCGTGAAACTGCATTGTCGTTTTCACTACTTGTGGTATTAATACAATTTTATCTGATAAGAACTTCCTTATTTGATAGAATTTTTCGACTCTCTGTCTAGGTTTTTCAGGTTAAATTTATTACAGATTAGTTCCTTCTCTCTCGGTCGTTCCCTCGTTCCTAGCTTCGATCATGATAGAAGGAGTTTTCTCCTATCAAATTTTGTCAAGCTACCCCTATCGTTTCACGATGTGTTTGCAAATATCCTGACAATTTGTTAAATCTAAACGAGGAGTCAGCGAGCACATCTCCACGGATAATGCACAAGTGATCGATAAAAAGTAAAAATGTACGCGTGGCGAGGGTACGTGCGAATAACAGCGGGAACCTCGAGAGGCCTCGTGGAGTTTCGCTTCTCGTAAAAAGGTTCCGAAAGATGACCTAAAAATGAACTCGAGGGTCGAGAATGCTCCCTTAATCGAGCGCCGTGAACTTGGCGCGCCTCGGAATATGAAATTATGCCCCGTAAAAGGCAGTCGCCGGATGCTGGGGGTTCAAGGGGAAACGAGGACGCTTGGCCTATTTTAAATCCATTCGTATGCTAATTCGACCGACCGTCGACCAGGAGGGAAAAGGATACAGGGGCACGGAGGGAGACAAAGCAGCCAGATGGAGGTAATTGGATAATTGATCCCGCGGATGCGGGATGAATCTCCTCGCGGGAAACCAGACGGTAGCTGCGGCTGCCGTACAACTTCACGATCCGACGGAATACATTTACAAAATTAAATGCCGCGTGGAAATTTTCCGTTTAGAAAGTTTAATCCGCGTGGGCGGCACGGGCGACGTTTCGCTTTATGAAAATTTTCATCGTCCTTCGCGGATCTGCGAACCTGTCGAAGGCGTAGGCACGCCAACTCTCTTTTCTCTTTCGAAGGGGTGAAAAACATTCTGGCAGGATTTCCTCTGGGTAGGGTCTGGGTTAAAAACTATCGAAACTGTAAAATTTCTTACGAGACCAAAACATTTTAGGCACCCTAAAACTCAAGTGTCCTATTCGAGTTTATTTCCTTGGACGTTTCAACTTGAGAATTGTCTTAATTCTAAACTGAAAAGTCTCGTGTCACCCATATGTGGACAGTGACAGTGTCAAGTGTCAAGCAAATATTTTTCTCTGTATAAATGGATAAGTAAATTGTTTTTTCTTCGATGTAAAGGTTCCAGAATTGAAAATGTTTGTAACTGAAAAGCGAGGTCACAGATTGCACGATATAACGCTTTCCTATGTCCGTTCGTATGAGAAATA